TGAAGTCATGTTTGCTGGTGGTGAGGTGGCGTTGAGTGGTGGTGAAGTCATGTTGACTGGTGGTGAGGTTACATTGACTGGTGGTGAGGTTGCATTGACTGGTGGTGAGGTTGCATTGACTGGTGGTGAGGTCATGTTGACTGGCGGTGAAGTTGCGTTGAGTGGTGGCGAGGTCATGTTAGCTGGTGGTGAGGTTGTGTTTTCCTGTGGTGACGTCATGTTTGCTGGTGGAGAAGTTGCATTAGCTGAATGATAGAACACAAGGGAAAAAGGTTTATTTAAGTTTAGGTAAGTTATATGGTATAAATATATATTATTTCGATTATTTTGGTGGTAAAGACATGTTTACTGGTGGTGAGGTTGCATTGAATGGTAGTCACCTCAAAGGTCATTATCCCCTTCATATACAGCCAATTGAGAGTCCTGTCTTAGTAACTGATAAATTGTCTGTATTTCTAGCTCTTGGAGGACATACTTAGACTTCTCAGCCAATTACAGATTTGTCCACATATTTTCAGATCTATGTACACATTTACAGATTTTTCTACATATTTCCGAATCTGTTTTATCAATTTGTTGCTGTAGTCTTGAAATAATCTATACAGTCGTATTATAGTGTTACCTGTTGTCTCATTAGCTGATGTTGTTCCCACAAGTCCTGTACGGAAGAATGTCACAATGATCAATCTTAATTCAGTTCACTTTTTTGTATTATAAATTAGTCTTCCTTCATCTTCACCACTTTAGCCCTGCATTTTTAAGTTTTTAGTTAATGTGCTTTTAATGGCATAAATGTTCAAAACAATTATTGACAATAATATACAAATACAATTGAGAAATAATGCATTTCTAAAAACAACAAACAATTAATTAACAAAACTGTCCATTAAGAAAACATTTCTCTTACTCTCGCTCTCTCTCTCTCTCTTTTTCTCTGTATCACACACACACACACACACACACAGAAGCATGCACTCCAAGAAATACCTCCTAAGAGGAGAATGAATATGAAGGGTTCCATCGTCCTTGCGTTTGGGTCCTGTGAAATAAGAGCTCAATATAAAAACATGTCGAATACATTTTAGTATGCAGAACAAATACACACTCAAGTCATTCTAATATACACTCAGTTGCCAATTTATTATGTACACATAGATAAATGTAGTTTTACAAAATCCCCCTGCAATAAATCCTACCTTGTGAAGTTTATAATGTTCAGGCTATGTTGAAACTTTTTAGAGAGGTCTTCATTAAACCTACTGATCCGTTTTGAGGTTGTAGTGCTGTTTAATTGCATTTTATTACACTGAGAGGTATTTCTAACATTTTGACCACCCTTTTTAATTCAATGAGGGTACTGAAGATTACATATATAAACGTAGGGTTTATGTGTTAGACTGATTAGTTTAAGCCACTTGTAATAATAGACTGGTGTATAATATAGCTACTTAAATGTAATGAGAGAACAAGAGATTGAGATTTTGACTTAATGACTGGTTGCCGTAGTTTTCCCCTCTCTCTCACTGTGTGGCAGTGATCACTGATAAATGCATAATTTAGTAGACGCTTAAAAACAATTTAACACAATCTTAAGACACACAATGTCTTGTGAAACATGCAGAACAGGGCCTGCCAGCATTCTGGAGAGACAAGTTTGGGTAACTTTGCCATATCTGACAGGTTAGTGTTGCTTTCACAGACAACTCTTAAAAGGATACAAATGTTGTCAGCAGCTAAGCTTGTATGAACAGATATTCAGTACTATAGTTTATAGACCTAAATCATAAAAAAGAATCTGTCAGCTGTCTGTCAAACACCTGATTTGTGATACCACACACATTGATGATCTGCTCTGCAGAGAATGATGATACAAATACTGACCTAGACAAAACTTATCTCAATTACTAAGAGATAATTACTTTGTCTTGAATCGGATTGGGATCAGGACTCTGATACTTCAGGTCTTCAACATTTTTTTATTATCGAATAATAACACAGATATATGGTCATTGATATCAGACAGAAAAATCAATTCAAACAAATCCTTTTAGACTCCCTAAACCCAGTTACTATAGTAGTTAACTATACCATGGCTTTCTAGAAGAGCTAACCTTTTTTTTATGGTGGGGACATCAAAAATAGCATGTATGCGGTATCTATTAAAGTGAATTAGTGATGAATCACCCTTGTGTATGAATCAGTAATAGCCTAATTTTACACATGACCATAGAAATGCATGGCAAAGATATCATATTGTCAATATTTCAGACACTGCCAAAAATTGAAAAATCATGGTATCAGGGTGGCTCATGTCTTATTAAGAGGAGCCAAACCACTCCTGTCTCCCCCGTAGTTCACACTGCCTAAACCTCCTGATGCAGTATCTGTCTAAGTCTGTGCATGTATCAACCTTTCAGTTTGAGGTGATAAATTGAATTTGTACTATATGTTTGAAGTAACTTGTAACACAATACATTTCTGTGCCTCTGTACCTCAATTAAAAGCCATCTTTATATTTTCATGTAATAAATATCTGTATAGAATTGTCAAAGCAATTACCTTTACAAGTGTTAAATTCATTAAAATTCCTAGATAGTCTACACCACAAGAACCTTTACTCAGTTTATTCATTATATACAGCTGACACACCCTGACATGCCAATAATTGCAATCATCAGTTGTTTAACTGCTGTAGTCTTAACAATAAATATGCATTGCTTTTATTAATGCTTTGTTTCTTTTTCTAATGTCATTTAACAAGATGTGCTATAATGGTACATTGTAAATCAAAGGTGTGTCTAAGAAAAGACTTGAAAAGTGCGATTCAATAAAAATGTGTGACTTTAAAAGCAGCACACATATCACAGGAAAAGCAATGTGAAAATTGAATACAATTTGAAATCATGGAGATATTGTTTATCACATTATTTAATTTGAAGTTACAAAATGTGGTACAGAAAACCACCAGTTCAATTCTATTTATGCATATATTTATATAAA